GGTTTGTTTTTTGTGCCCCCCCCCCCCCCCCAAGATGTCAGTTTCTGCTGCAGGTTTCCCTAACAGTGTCACAGCACCATAAATGTTGTTGTCAAGAGTAAGGGTTAGCACGTTATCATAATTATTTTTAATAATATTATGTTTATTTTACATGATTTCACATAGATGCTTTCATCGGCACACTGACTGCGTTTCTGTTTTTATATTTTTTGCTTAAGTTTGAGACTCTGTGTATACAAACAATGCTTAAACTTAAAGTATAAATCAGTAATATAGATAGTATTGCAATGATTAATTATGCAATATTATAAACATATAGAGTAGTAGAATGTTTATATTATTGTTTTTAAGATAGTGTGTGATTCAAGTTAAATTAAGCAGGCCTAGCACAAGAGAGATTAGTTCAAACTGCAACGAATTCATGTGAAATTGAGTGATTAATGAGAGCCAAAGTGTACAACATTAAGATTTTCTGTAGTGTTTTTACAAGCTGTGATTAATTAAATTAACAGTCACAAATAAATTAGGTCTTCGACCTGTGTTGTGCTTTCACGAGTGGAGATGATGCTCCAAGCAATTTTAATTAGGTTATCCCAGTGCCAGAGGGAACAAAGGGCCCTGAGGTATCACTAAGCCACTGCCATGCTTCATTGTAGGCAGCGGGATCTTTTCAGTGTTTATGTCATTCTTCCTCCTCCGTACATTCTCCCTGTCCAACTAATTAGCATTCGCTGCTAAGCAGCTAGTGACAGCCAGAGGCCGAGCAAAACTCGTGTACTTCACTTCCGCATGGAGTGAGGACTCCAACATGTTCGAAAAGCCTTCTGCGCACAGTTATGAAGTCCAAAAAGCGGCTATATTTAACTCTTGAGGTTCTCTGTGGGTTGAAATATCCCAGCTTTACTTTCAGTGCCTCTGCTTGTATCTGGGGAAACCTGACAAACTGTATTTGATGGAGAACCTGGAGTTTTATAAAGTGTGCTAATCAAATATTTAAATGGCTTTTTCAGTTTTTTCATAGCAATAAAAAAATTTGGTAATTGTTTAAAAAGAAATGAGCAAAGTTTTTCTTTCATTCTGAAGATTAACACACATCGAGTGGACTGCTGCCTTGACTTTCTTATTCTGAGGAAGAAATTAAATTAGCTTCTGTGTCAGAAAAAAACAAGGTAAAAAAACGTATCCACTCAATGAAAATAATAATTAAATATAACGTTGAACCTTTCTCTTCGGTTTTCTAATTGTACAACCAATTTGGGGGAACACTCTTTAGCTAAAGTAAACTATTTAGATCATTACACTTGTAGAGGAGCTGCCTTTATCTGCTTTTCTGAGTTAATTTGGGAAAATAAGATCACATTTATACGTTTCAGTTAAGACATTTTTGATTTCTTGGCCAGCAGCTGGTGCATTTGATTTTTCCTTCCAGAAGAGCATTTCTGCTCCAAGCTGAGGCAGGCTGGATATTTTTGTTATTCATATAGCTTAATGTTCTTTGGCTTCTAACAAACTGACAGGAAGTAACGCAGCTAACCCTTCTGCTATTTGGAGGTGCCTACGTACAAACCCTGCCAAGGTGGGTGTGTGAGAACAATTTTATCCTTGGAGAGGGGGCTTTTTTTCCATTATGGCCAAGTTTTTTTTTTGTTGTTTTTTTTTATTAGCTCCATAACACCTCCAGAAGATTTCACAGGAAGTTCTCACACCTTATATCTGTCCATCTTCATATTCAACTTCAACCCGATACAGTCAGAGCACTTTTTCACGACTACAGCTTTCTGGTGTATGAATATCTTGCGTAGCTTTCCTTGAATTTTGTTGCTATAAATGTGTGTTTTACTGCAGATTACTGGAGCGAGAGTGATCACGAGGACATGGAGATGCCCCCAGTTCCCAAACGGGACAGTCCACCGCCCCCTTATGACACTTATCCCAGAGCAGCCTCAGTGAGTTTTCAGTTAGTCTAAAAGATGCAGCAGGTATCACTCTGTGACCCTGTTTTCTAGCCACAGATGTCTGTTTTTTGTGTAGGTAAGTCCCTACCTGGAGCCAAAGCGTAGCCATCTCTCCTCTTCGGACACATTCCAGTCCCGTTCCTCACACGAGGAGTTCCACTCGGAGCCTCAGGAAAGCAGCAGCAACAACAGCGTCTCCCCTGGGCAGAAGGCGAGCAGCCACCGAAACTCGTGGCAGGACCAGATGGAAGGCAAATCCAGGATGCACTACCTGCAGACGTATCCAGTGGAAGAATCCATGCAGTCTGAAGACAGGGAGCAGCTGGCCATTGAGTACCGCAGGCAGTCAACTCTGCCTGCACAGCGCAGCCTGCTGCAGGAGCAGTACAGGGCCCTGCCGCTGCCCCTCAGGGCCAGCATAGATTCTGACGCCGGAGGAAAACCTCGCAGCTTTACGCTTCCAAGAGACAGCGGGCTCCATGCCATCCTGGCAGCCACCGCTGCATCAGACCAGAGAGAGACCCAGAACTACCAGCTGGACCGGGCCAGAGACACAGGTCAGAAAACCTAAACAATTCATTTTGCATTCATGCATACTGCTGAGAAAGCTGCTTCTTAATTAAACCATTTCACAAAATCTGCTGAAAGCTGTTGTTCTTGACAAAAAGAATAGAGTAAAGTTAGTTTTTCTCCTACTTCAGACTGGTTGCTTTAAGAGAAAAGGCAAGAAGATGATTGAACAGTTAATGTAGCCTTTATTTTAATCAAATTAGTCTCAGAAAAGATTTTCAGAGTAGGAAGATGTATCTTTAGAAACTGCATAAAAGAGTGCAAAACATACAGCTCTGTAATGCACACAATTTATTTTTAATGTCCTTTACCTTTGACGTAGAAACATCAAACATTATTATTTTTGCTCAGTAAAACCAAAAGTCATGACTGATGACACCGGGGCAGAAATTCAGTCTCTGTCACAGGGCGAGTTTCATTTTGGGCCGTATCAAGATCATGAATATCTTGATATTCATAATCTTGAATATCAAGATATTCAAGATTATTACATCCTGGTTGTGGCAGGATGTAATAATAAAACTACCCATTAGCAAACTGGGGAAATATTAATAAATAGCTGTATCTGCATTTAATGAGAACTTCTTGACATTAAATATTATTTAACATCTTTACACATTGGTGCAATTTGACAGTATGCAGAAAAAAACTTGTAGAGTGGCCCAATTAAAGTCCAGGAATAAATTTACCTAAGCTAAGGCATGACTAAACCACTTGCATGATTTAATAAGACTATCTACTGTCCTTTCATTCTGTGTACACAAAAGCACTAAAGTGTTGCAGTTTTTGTCAAACGCCAGCGCCATCTTGTGACGTAATCAGGGTAAATCGATCTGTCAACATCTAGGCTGAGTACACAGAAGCAGAGGAAGTCGTGTGCGATTTCAGCGAAAAAATGTTGGAGTCATTGTTGATTCCTGGACAATATGGCTTAAAAAATGGGTTTGTGGTCCTTCAGTAGAACCGGCTTCATCTTCGTCATCACTTCATACTCAAGCCTTCGCTGAAATCGCTCACAACTTCCTCCGCTTCTGTACGCTCAGCCTAGATGTTTATGGTTTGATTTACCCTGATTACGTCACAAGATGGCAGTGGCGTTTGACCCAGTTACTACAGACTAAACATCGACACTGCATTTATAGTATTCTCTGAGAAATATTTATTATTAAAAGCTTTCACAGAATGAGAATGAAAGCACAGTAGTTCGTCTTTTTAAATCATATAAGTGGTTTTATTGTGTCAGTGCCACTTAAAATAACACAGAACTGAAAGACAATCCAAAGCTTTACATTTATAGCATATTTGATCCCCGTGCTAGCGTTACGTTGGTTCTAGCGAGCAAAGAGCATTGAAGTCGACCTTTATAGTAGATCAGAGAACTAAACTATAGATGTTGATGAAAATGTCTTTCATCTGGACTGGAGCGCACAATTGCCCCTATTTGTCATCAGGGATGTTTTCAAATCCCAAACATTCAGTCAGAGCCAGCAAATGTCAAAGGTTTAATGCTCACTGTTGTTTCTTTACAGGTTTAGATTGGAAGTCGGCCTATTTGCCGTTCCCCCCTAAACCTTGAGGGCGTTTGTGTGTGGAAGATCAAATTCTGTTTCCTGTTTGATGCTGATTGATTTCGGCTCTTCTTTTTCTGTCTTTTTCTTCCCCCTTTTATTTTGCTTTCTCTCATGCTCAGTCCAGATGCCATTGTAGCCTCTCGGCTCTGTTTGGACAGAGAAGCAAAGAGTAATCCTTTCAGTCAATGTTAATATTTTATTTTGAACAAAATAAAGAAACACACCGGAGGGGGCCTGTCTTCATTTATCTTTCGCATTTCCCACAAAGAAAAGAGGAGCGGTAAACAAGTGTTAAAGTGATATGCATCTCAAAGCCCAGGCAGCAGCCAAAGCTTCAGGATGCTACTTTCCAAATACAAAACAGGCATCTCACAGGATAGGCCTTAATGTAGTGTGCCTATCCTACCAGAAGGGGGTGCTGTATGTTAATAGAAGGTAAATAAACGTCTCCCGTTTATTTCTACCCCTAATCATGGCCTGTCACAGTTTAAGTGCTCTCTTTTCACACATAAAAAGCAAATACAACTTAACGTGTGTTTAATTTGTGTTTCAACAAATAAATGTACTTATTACTTAGTAAGAGCAGCGCTATTTCTACATATTTTTAGTTAATTAAAATTAAAAGTTAGCAATTTAAGAAATTACTGAAGCCAAAATAGAACAAAGATTGTCTACAAACAGGTAAAAGTAGCAATACTTTGTGATATTACTGAAGTAAAAGTAAAATGTATGGTTTTGTAAAAATTCTTCTACAAGCTTTTCTTCCTAAAGTTACTGAAATAACAGAGTAAATGTAACTTCATACTACCCAACTCTGCAAATAAATATTACTAAAACATGGTTGCTTTGGTTCCATAATCTACGTTGCATCTGCTTGGCCAACCGACTTAAAATGTGGCCTCACACAGAGCATCCACATCATGGTGCATAATTATTAAGTTGAAGGAAAATGTTAATAGATTACAAACTCCTGAAACCGTCGCAGAAGACGTGGATCTATACTGAGTTTAAATTACACACAGCTGGATTCAGATTACTAATGAAGTGACTTCTGAAGGCATTGGGTTCCATTAAATTTTATTTAGGGGATCAGAGTAATGCCACACTTTGATTTTCATCAAAACTTCACACAGGTGTGTGAACTCTTTGCTCTGCAGATTTTATTTAGATGTAAACATTCTGCTTTTATTTGCTGATCTGCTTACCGAGGCCGTGGACGTGACTGTCGAATGCAGACGGACTCACTGGTGGACCTGTACCGGGCCCTGGAGCAGACCAGTCTGTCCACCTCTGCTGACCACAGATCAGCCGGTCGCCTCGAGTACAAACGCTCCTTTGTCCGCAGAGTTAACGACCCCCTCCTAAACGACAAGCTCCACCGCCTGCGGATTCTTCACAGCTCACTGAAGGTATGGAAACGGCTTCCAAGAACCAATTTGTTTCCATCTGCGCCGCGTTTTGCTGATCACTAATCAGTACTTTTGTCTTCCTGCAGAATGTTCCTCTTCAAGACACAAACCGGTCGCTGGGGTTTTTAGATTAGCCCCGCTGAGCGCCATCCCACCCCCCAGCCACCCGCAGCTTGGCTTCTGCTTGTGCCTCACATTTGGAGTCAAAGGCACCAAAACACATCTTTTACCTCCTCAACCATCCATCCATCCATCCTTTCATTTCTTTCTGCTGCTTCTCTCAAAAGCAGAAACAAAAACTACTGATGTCACTTTTTGCCTCATCTCATCCTCAAGCAGGGCAGGGATCCAAACAAAGATTGGATTAATAAAGCAACTGAAAGCACTTTGTGTCCATTTCAAAGATTCATCTGAAAGCTTTTAAAAATCATCACTTCCATGCATGGCAACCTCCCCCCGCTCTTCTGTTGAATTGTTTTTATACCTTTACGCTGGAGTCGTGTACAGCTGCTCTTCAAAAAGAAGCCTCTTTTTGGTTGTACGCCACTTTTCATTGTGCATGTACATTCGATCCATGGGTATGTTTGTTTTGTGACTGTACAGGGTGTTAAGCATATTAACATATGTTGTATATTTAATATTACATTCCTACAACAGTGACCACACCACGTTTCTTTTTTGTTTGTTTGTTTGTTTGGCTACCTATTTAATCTGTACATCAAGTGCTGTGCCTCAGTGATAGTGAATGTACATTGTACCTTTTTAAAGAGGGAGAGAAGAGAGAAGATTTAGAGAGAAAGCTATTTCCTCAGAGCAGAGGCATAAAAATGTAACGCCTGGCAATAATGAACTACTGTATATTACAATGGAGCGATAAGAATAGTTGTCTATTTTTGTATGCATGCTGTCTACCTGATTGTTTGTACGGCAGTTTTGTAATTCTAAGTGCATTCGGTTCAGAGGATACTGGTGTTATCGCTCCCACCCTTCCACCCATATCTCATGCACACAACCAGCACAGCGTGTTTTCTGTACTTATTATAGACACTGGCCCAGAAATGTGATTTTTATTTTTATTTTTTTCTCTTAATGTTAACCATAAAAATAAAATAAAAAATTGTATTTAGTAAGTGTTTAATGGAGAAGCATGCTCTGTAAGACTAAAGTACATTACCATGCCATTTGAAGCTGACTCATATTGCACACCTGTGCCATATTGTAGCTACATTTTTTTTTTTTTCTATTGATTAAAATATGGTACAGGCATAAACAAGGCTTGTTGTTTTATCTCATTCAGGTCAAAGAGAAACTGACAAAAATCTTGTTGCTTAACAGATGTAGAATAAAATAACCAGGAATGAGAAAAATACACAGTATTATAAAAGTATTCTTAAAATCCCAATATTGACCCTTAAATTTAAAGTAAATGATAATATTGGAATCAGTTATCACAGTTAGGCCTGCACAATATTGAAAAATCTTGCAATTGCCATAATATTGGTAAATATTGTGACGATAACATAAGCCTGTTTTCTTCTTTGCTCTCTTTCTAATCTGAGCTTTCTGCTCTGTGACCTTTAACGTTTTCGAAGATGTCAAGACGCTTAAGCGAATTTTCTAACTTGGAGGACAGAAAATAAAAAATTAAGACTGAATAAACTTGAAACAGACTTTAGTTTTGATAGAGACACTCGGATTTCTCGGCAAAATAAAGTACCCTGTAGTTTTTAATTATAGCAAACTTTGCTAATTATTAGAGAAAAAATTTTAATAGGTTTTAGGTGGTTCTGTGATAATATCTATAAAAAGTCAAAAGGAGAAGGGCAGAAACTGTGAAATTAACATTTCAAGCATGGAAAAAATTCAACTTTAATGTTAAATAATCCCAGGAAATACTTTGCAAACGTAAACATATGCATTGTGTTATTTTTGATACAAGCTTCTTGAGGTAAAAATGACAAAAAAAAAAAGAGAGAAAACTTTGTTAATTATGAATAGGATGTAAAAATTTGGCTAAATATCAGAGGGGATATTATGTTTTTAAAAGCATTTGTGCATCTACTAACATAAAACTAAATTGTGGATAAATATTTAAAAACTGGCAAGATTAGCAGCACTCAAAAAGAAACAAACAGCATTTAGAGGACTTCTGAACACCATGTTGGATGCACATTTAATGAAACCAAATATAAATAAAACATCTTGACTACGTCACTTGGACTTGGTGAAAAGCTTGATGAGTCGGATTCTTATTATTTGTGTGCCCAAGCCGTATATTAGGGCGTTTAGGAGCGGTGGGAATATCAAAAAGTACAGGGACAAAAACAGCTTAGTGTGATAAGACATGTGCCTGTTGTCAAGACGACCTTGTGCCAGCTCAAAGAAGCACCCAGTGGCGTAGTTGATTACAGCCAGCAGATGGGGAATGCAAGTACGGAGGGCCTTGAATTTGGATTTGCTGAACGACATTATGCAAATCTTCAGGATGTGTGAGTACGAGTAAAAGATCATGATCAGCTGAGGAGCCGTGTAGAGAGCCGCAGAGAGCAGACCGATGATGTTCACTATGACTGTATTTGTGCATGCAAGTTGCACAAGCAAGTAGTTGAGGCAGTAAAGCTTCTCTATGGTCTGGCCACAATACGGCAGCTGAAGAGTAAACACGAAAACCACGCTCAGTGCCAGCATGGGGTAAAGCCACATAAAAACAATCAGCTTCACTATCCTCTGAGACATGATCACATGGTAGGACAGTGGATGACAAATGGCCACGTATCTGTCGTAGCTCATCACCGCGAGAATAGTGAATTCGGTGATGGCGTACGTGTGTAGGACAAAGACCTGCGTCTGGCAAAAAGAAACAGAAATCTGGTGTGTGTGTGAGAGAATGTTGATCAGCGTCGCCGGCAGCAAGGCGGTGCTCCCTACCAGCTCATTCACGGCCAAGTTACACAAAAGCACACACATTGGGTGATGCAGGGATTTTTCACAATAAACCACCCTGATCAGCAAGATGTTCTCGGTGATGATGGTGAGGTACACGATGAGGAAAATGCAGAAATACATGGACCTCAGCTCTTCCATTCCATAGTAAGCAGAGAGATAAATCGATGTAACAAGAGAGAAATTCATGTTGAAACAACTTGATGTGAGTTGGTGACCTAAATGTGTTTACGTGTATGAGTCTGAATGGCATTTAACTGCACTGAGCAGTAAAACCGCAGCTTTATATTTGTTCTTCTGTGAGATAAAGTCACATCCTCTTCACCTGCACGCCAATAACTTCGCAGCACGTAAGCACCAGTTTTGTTCCTCCGAGATCAAAACATAAAACATTACATCATCTATGTACAAGTAATTTATCGAACTGGTTACCCTAAACTGAGACTCGATAATTATCTACATGTTATAAATTAGCTAACATTAATACATCAAAACGACAAATTTGTTATTTTTGTGAAGCATGCTTGTTTTTAAAACAAATCAAAGCAATGATGATAAAAAAATCAAGAAGAATCGTTTTTTTTTATTATTTGACTATTTAAATATAATAAAATTACACACTTTTTGTGCGAAATCACACCACTGCAATGAAAGACACATTTATTTATAGGTGTTTTACACACCTTTGCCTGGAGTGCCACACACTTTGACTGATTTTGATTTTGGGTTTTGCTTTAATTTGGTGTTAGATTAACGTACTGTTCCCTCTTTGCTCTACCTTTGACCTGTTTCCTCAGTTCAACTTTGGGTTTCTGCTTTTCCTCACAGCTGCATCCAGTTTCTATTCAGCCACCTGCTCATTGCTTTGTAATCATTTCCCCTTAGCTTAAGAGCTAAGATATTTAGCTGCTGGTCAGACCATTTTGTTATTCCCATAATTTTTGGCTCCTTCTGAGGTCTTCTTGTGGGTTATTATTTTGGAACCCTTGGTGGACATTAGTTGTTCTTATTATTATTCTTTCATAAGTAAAATAGTTTATTTTCACCTGCCAGTCTCCTTGCTGAATTTGTCACACTATTATGTGACATTTACTCAAAAAAAAAAAAAAAAGTTGCAGCTTTTTGGGAGTCAACATGCTGGGGTGTTGTATGCAGGGTTTCCCCTAGAGGATTATAAGCCTGGCGGGCCACCAGGCTTTACTACCCCTGTCTGATTGAGGCTGAAACAAATGACAGTCTGTTGGTCCTGTGGCACCTTCAGCCTCCTTCCTAATGGCAGTGCTTCATATTCAGAGAGCAGTAGGTGTCTGGATATGATTTCTGCTGTTCTTATCATTGCTTGTTCATATGTACTCTGTACGGGTTCGTAATCTCTTAAGCTGATTATTTTCAGAGCTGCTGCATAAATGTGGGCCAGCTTGTTCCTGAGTTGGACAGTTAAGCTTCGATTCTGTATTGTTTAATGCTTTCCAGGGCTTTTAATTAGTACATAATATTGAACAAAACACTCTTAACACATTCAGTTAAGTTGCCTTTATTTTGGTCAATTACAATTATCCGATCTGTAAAAGAGAGAAATTTTCAAAATTCAAGATTATACAGAATCCTCTAATCTAACGGATCATATGATCAAAATCAATTTCTATGTTGTTTCTTTCATTTAAAGATCCAGGTTTTAGTCAAAATATTACGACCACATCAGATTGAAAGTTCAATAAAAGCTGATTCTGCATTGTTGCCCCTTCACTTTTTATTGCAGGGAAATTTGATGAATATAACCTTATTGTTAATGACTTATATTGCAGCAACTGGAGTAAAAAAAAAATCTTTGAAACTTTCCAATTGTTTGCTGTTTGTCAGGATGAATTTGTACTTTCCCACCAAAAACCCTTCAGTGGATACATCAGAGCAAAAGTAACCATGTTAAATCACAAATGAGTTAGTGACCAATTAGTCTCTGTGTGTCTTTGTTCCTCCTGAAAGTAATTAAGACAAATGATTTACAACAAGGGACGCTTGTTTGGACAGCACCTGGAGAATAGAGATAAAAGTCAGGAGACAACCATTAATGACTTCCCTTTGGAAAAATACTGATGCAACACTGATGAAACTGTCCAAGGCGCTTGACCCTTTGGTAATGCCGGTCACTGCAGTATTGTTTTTGTTATTCTTATTAAGCTGGATTTCACAAATCAGACTGTTTTGACAACACCTTTGTAACGATATCCAGTTTCTTAAAGTACCAAAATCAATCTGAAGCAACTCCTTATATAAAAATAAGCACCACCAGAAATACCACAGAAGGTTAAAGTACCATATTTGGTCTGATATCGACTGTTTAGTTCTTGTGGTATAGTTGGACTAACCTGACAATAAACACTTTAGTCACATTAAGACTGGCATTCAGTGGTGATCCCTTCTGACCTTGGATGCCCGAAGAGGTGCTTTTAGATCATTACAGAATCAAATAACAATATTTAAGGGAAACAATCCTCTTGATCACTTCGCTGGGTCAAGTTGATGGAGTCTTAATGGTGTGTCCATAGGAAAAACACAAGATCCTGCAAGAATTGTAAACAAAAATCCCTAACATGTGATGGAAACAAAAATGCATGTAACACAGCTGGAATTTTGAGTTCTTCTTAAATTCAGCTTCTTGGAAACATTCACCTCCATGATTAGTGTTGGTGTGTGGAGCTAATCAGCCAATCAGAAGCAAACACAGGGTGACATAAACAGACTAAACTCATATGACACTTTAGTAGTCCCACTTACAATTTGACTTATTTATGTGGAAGTCTTAATTGAACCCACTAATTTGTAGCCACCACACACTAAGTCAGAGCTGTCACATTTGACAGATTTAAAGAAAAAAAAAATCAAGAATCTAGTTATCCTAAGCTTTTATTAACAGTCTGACATGCTGACAAAGAAAAAGAAATCAATAGAATTTGGATATTAGGACAATTTTGGAAACAATTGCAGAGATGTGCTCTCCTTCTTTGAAACTCAAGCTCCGGTGACAGTTTTGGAGGCCGCGCTCATTTATCACAAAGAAGGCATCCTCGATTCCTCCAGGGAGCGGGAGCCAGGAAGAATGTGCAAAATCTGATTTAAAACAGGCTCTTCTTCTTTTGGGAGATTTCAGTGACTTGTCCTACGATGACACTTGGATCACGGGTTTAAAAACGCTGAATTCGTTTTCGTGATGTAATTAGGAAAGGCATGTTCTCTTAAGGCTTCTTGTGCCCAGTTAATATTAACGTCTGGTGACCAGCCTGCTGCTTCATATTAACCTCACTCCTCCTTGCTGACCAAAACTACGCAGATCCACACCAAACCATCACTCTGGAGCGTCACTGTCAGGCTCAGCCATGTTTTCATATCGTACAGCAGCTTTCCTTATCTTAATGCTCTTTCTTCTCCATGGTGAGTCTTGCTTTTTGAAGTTCTGCGTGGTTTTCTGCAAATGGTAGAACTTAAAGACACTTTTCCACACACACTGCTGTTTTTTTTCAGTTGTTGAAAACGAAGCCGTATCGTTTCCTTGGTCCTGCCCCACCCTCAGTGGAGTGTGCAGGAAGGTTTGCCTTCCATCAGAAATGTTCTTTGGACCTCTCGGCTGCGGCAAAGGCTTCCTGTGAGTAGAATTGTGAAAATGCTTTATCTGGTCATGTTGAGCATGTGTGATAGCAGAAGAAATTCAATTGCTTTTTCATTCCTAGGTGCTGCGTTTCTCATTTTCTATGAGGCGGACGTTTCTGATCAGTGTCTGCAGAAATCCAGCAGTGCTAAGAGACGCTCCGTTCATCAAAGATAAAGAGAAGCAGACATCATGTTTGGCTTTTGAAACAGGATGCACTTTGTGACATTTTAACTGCTCACATGTTTATTCTTGTTTGCTAATTTTAAAATGGCATACATGTTTTGAATAAAAGATGCAGATTATATTTTCTTTTATTACTTTTTAAAAAATATATATATTTGTTTTGTTTAAGTACAGATTTTGCTTTTGCTTTTTTTTTTTTTTTTTTTTTGTTTAATGGCAAAACAGTGTTTTTATCTGGTAATAAATATCCAAAAGTCAATTTTCCAAATCCTTTAATTAGGGATTTGGTCTGGTGTTCTGTGTCCAGCAATCATTGAGCATAGGCTAGACTCTAAAGGTCACCAGTCCATTACAAAGAAACACAGAGATGCACAACTACACATTTCTGTTCTGGTCGGAGGGCCCAGATAAAAATGAAGACTCACACAGAAAGACTCCAGTCAGGATTTAACCTTTCAGACTTTCTTGTTGTGAAGTAATAGTGTTTAACAACTGCCCCATGGTGCAGTCCAGTTCTAAATATGCACAAATATGAGTAGAAATTCTTCCAAAAGACAGTTTTGTGTTTTATAAAGATCATATCTGACAGAAAAAAAGCATGCCTTCAAAATTCAGCATTTGTTTATTATGAGTTGCAAAAAAAAGCAATGAAATATAAAAAGGTTTATTTCTTATTTAAGGATTATGGTACTTCCACAAAATGCAGCTGGGAAATTATAAAAACATAATAGCTAATAATAGAAACTTATTGATTTAAGGATCCTCCTTCATTTTCTGAGGAAATGACTTCTGAAGTCAAACTTCCGAAGTGAAGGAATAAATACTTTTTGCCTTTTTTCCCCCCAGATTGAGGATATGGGCCATATTAAACGAATATCTTAAATATAAAAAAATTAGATTACAAGAACTGAAACATTGTCAGCTTTGTATGCACACATTGTCATAGAAAGTATGTAGGAAACAGACAAACTGGTGCCAGAGACTCTGATAGAGAACTTATCTGAAATCAGGAGGAAGTGAATGTTTTGCTCACAGAAGCTTGTTTCTGTCGTTGCAGTGCCAACTCATTATTAATTTATAAATGTCAAAAACTCCATTCATATAAGGCATCGTTATTTTCACAATGACAGGGGAAAAAAAGAAAATGCTATATCTACGTCTTAAACAATTAGACTTTGTGACTGATACTCTAAGAACTATTTTTCTTTGTTTGCATTGCACCTACAGCTCTTGGTCTAACATTGAAGCTGAAGTTCAGCTTGAACAGGGCTGTCAGATCTGCATCTAATTGTTGCATTAAGTTACCTCTAAAGTGTTTTAAATGTAAGTTTCACAAATGTGCAGCCAATTCCTGAAGGCTAAGAAGAATGAAATGGTTTTGTTTTTCTGTAATCATAATGACCTTCAGCCTCGACCTGTGACTCAGCTTTTACAAAGGCAGTAAATGTGGCGTTTTCAGGAGGACGCCACGATAAGCCTCATGCAGGAATAACTACATCTGTTTACACAGGCTTTATTGGACATAGATCATATCTGTAACTTTCTTCCTTCCTATTATTTTTCTGTTAGCTACATTTGTAGATTTGGATGTCGTATAACACTGAGAAAACATGCAGAAGTTTCTATTAGACATTTTCTTTCCATCCCTAATTCTAAGAGGGTTTCTCTCACACTGTTTCAATTTTGTTGCCATCTGAACTTCCA